TTCCCTAGGTTGCCTTTTATTTTGTTTATCATTCCTTTTGCTGTGCAAAACCTTTTTATTTCATTGTAGTCCCACTAGTTTATTTTTGCTTTTGCTTTCTTTATCCTAAGAGACCTATCCACATGACTCTTGATTTTGGCTCAGGTCACGATCTCATGGTTCATGAGATTGAGCCCCACTAACAGCTTGGACTTGGGGTTCTCTCTCTCCCTCTCTGCCCTAACCCCGTTTGCACACACACTCTCCCAAATAAACATTTAAAAAAAGCCTCCAGTCTTTAAGCTCCACTAGTTGCAGAAACACAAAAATCAGCCCCTCTCATTTTTCTTTCTTTTAAAAAAAAAATTTTTTTTTGTAACGTTTATTTATTTTTGAGACAGAGAGAGAGACAGAGCATGAATGGGGGAGGGTCAGAGAGAGAGGGAGACACAGAATCTGAAACAGGCTCCAGGCTCTCTGAGCTGTCAGCACAGAGACCGACATGGGGCTCGAACTCACAGACCGTGAGATCATGACCTGAGCCGAAGTCAGACGCTTAACCGACTGAGCCACCCAGGCGCCCCTCATTTTTCTAGCCAATGGCTCTGGGGAAATGTTCTCCCTTGTGTTCCCTTATGTGCTTCTCGTCTCTTGCCCTCTCCGCCTTCTGTGTGATCACAGCATCTGTGATCCATTTCCCCAAACCATGTCTCCCCCCTTCCTACCCTCTTCCATGTGGCTTCTTCTCTCCCTTCAGTTGTGGAGTTTATTCTGTCAGTCTTCAGGTTGATATGTGGGGTATTCAGAATGATTTGGTAGCTACCTAGTTGTGTTTGAAGGACAAAATGAGCTGAGCATCCTCCTACTATGCTGCCATCTTCTACTAAGGTATACCTTGTTGATTTTTTAAAATGCTTTCTTGGGGTGCCTGGGTGGTTCAGTTGGTTGGGCATCTGCTTCAGCTCAGGTTGAGATCTCACTGTTCATGGGTTCAATCCCCACATTGGGCTCTGTGCTGACAGCCCAGAGCCTGGAGCCTGCTTCAGATTCTGTGTCTCACTCTCTCTCTCTGACTCCTGCCCCTGCTGGCACTCTCTCTCTCTCAAAAATAAATAAACATAAAATAATTTTTTTAAATGCTTCCATTAATTCATTTATTCATTCAAATAATAGGCACCTAACGCAGGTACAGTTCTACATACTTGAATAATTTCAGTGAACAAATATCTTAGAGGAATAAAGGGAATGCATTTAAGAAGTTCAGAAGGCATTCAGGAGAAAGCCTACCCAAACTATGAGAAGTAGGGTAATAGGATTACTAAAAGCCTTTACAACAACCTACAAAATAAATGGTAAAGATGGAAAGCACATCCCATTAGGATGAATAAAAACACAAATATGCTGTTTTTACTACTTTCTAGTCATCAATGTACTGGAAGTATTGTTCTATTGGTATCAGGAAAAATATATGAAGTAAGAATTAGTATGAAAAAAAACCCCCTGTAATTAGTTATAGATAATATGATTGCCTATGTGTCAAACCAAAACAACACCTAAAAATTAGAATTTTAAAGTTTACTAAGGTAGCTGGATAAAATACAATACACAATCAGAAAAATTAAAAGGTATAACATTTAAAAGTAAGATAACTACACTACTCACAATATACAAGATATGGAAAAAACTCATGTCCATCTATAGATGAATACATAAGATGTGATATGTATGTATTGTAGAATATTATTCAGCCATAAAAAGAAGGAAATCCTGTTATTTGCAACCACATGGATACACCTGAAGGACATTCTGCTAAGTGAAATAATCCTTACAAAAGGCTAGGTGGGGTGGGGGTGGGGTGGAAGTAACAGGAAATGTAGATCAAGGGCACAAAATCTCAGTTATGTAGGATGAATAGATTCTGGAGATCTAATGTATAGCAAGGTGAATATAAAAGTTTATTAAGTGTTAAGAACAAATTGTAAGAAATTGGGCTAGCTTTATCTTTTTTTTCCTTTTGTTTCTTTAAAAAAAAAAGAATTGTAAAATATTGAACTCCACTGAAGAAGACATAAATATATAGGAAGAAACACCATGGTTTTTGTAAAGTCCAATACCAGAAACTCAAATTCTCCTTACAATGATTTAGAGATTCAGAGATTCAGCTAACATCTCATCAAAAGTAGACTAAGCATTAGATGAAATTAACAAACTGACATAAAACTATATATGGATCTCCTGCAACTAATTATAAATGGGAAAATAAGACTTGTACAAGTAAAAACCAGACATCTACCGTATTTTACCAAAGTAATCAAAACTAACATTAACAATGTTGGAATAAATGACTTCATTGGCTTCTGTCTAGGTGCTATCTTTGATATATATGTCTCTTTTTTGATATTCAGCCAAAAATATAAAACATGAATTTTTTTTTTTAATTTTTTTTTCAACATTTTATTTATTTTTGGGACAGAGAGAGACAGAGCATGAACGGGGGAGGGGCAGAGAGAGAGGGAGACACAGAATCGGAAACAGGCTCCAGGCTCTGAGCCATCAGCCCAGAGCCTGACGCAGGGCTCGAACTCACGGACCGCGAGATCGTGACCTGGCTGAAGTCGGACGCTTAACCGACTGCGCCACCCAGGCGCCCCAAAACATGAATTTTTTTTTTATATAAAACACGAAGGTTAAAAAAGAAACCGCAGTTGAAAGATATTCAACAAAGGAAACTGCTGTGTTCTTAAAAATTGTCTATATCATAAAAGACAAAGTTAAGGAAAATATTTGAAGTTGGTTAAAGTACCATGGCCATTGAAATCAATACACGGCTTTGAACTGAAGGATAAATTTTACCATAAGAACATGAAACAGCTGATAAAAGCAATATGGACTATAAATCAGATAACACTCTTGTGCTTCAGAAACACCTACTGAAAATAATACGGGGTTAAAGAGGCATGGTGAATGCAACTTACCCTTGAACATTTCAGGAGGAAAATACACATGTATGAGAAGAAATAGGAGAGCAAGAATGAATGAGAAAGAAGTAGCAAAACTTTAAGAATTAGTGAATCTGAGTAGTTATATTGGAGTCCTTTGTACTAGTCTACCAACTTTTTCTCTAACTCTGCTGTAATTTCCAAATTCTAGCAAAGAACCAAGGAAAGACAGCATTCCTTAAGAATAATGGCACTCTGGAAACCAATTTGACAATAAATTATATTTAATATTAAAAAAAGTAAAAACCAAAACTGCAAAAAAAAAAAAAAAAAAAAAAAAAAAGGAATAATGCCACAAAAAAAAAGCACTCTCCAGCATTAAGAGACACAGTAAAGTTAGTATAATGAAGGCAAGAGGTAGTCATGCAGAGATGAGTCCCAACTGACCAAAGGAATAAAATACAGTGTTCAGAACAGATCCAAATTGATATGGATTTTTCTCCCGATGGCTGATGTTACACTCCAAATCAGTAGAGAAAAGCAAACTTTTAAAAAAATGTTTTTTTTTAAACTCACTATATTTATTATTTTTTAATAATTTAAGGGGAGCCTGGGTGGCTCAGTCAGTTGAACCTCCAATTTCAACTCAGGTCATGATCTCACAGTTCATGACTTTGAGCCCCACACTAGGCTCGCTGCTGTCAGTGCAGAGCCTGGTTCGATCCTCTACCCGGCTCTCTCTGCCCCTCCCTGCTCATGCTCTCCCCCTCCAAATAAATAAACATTAAAAAATAAAGTTTTCATTTAAATTCCAATTAATACACAGTGTAATTGTAGTTTCAGGTGTACAAATAGTGATTCAACAATTCCATACACCACCTGGTGCTCATCACAAGTGCATTACTTAATCCCCATCACCTGTTTCATCCATGCGCCCCCCCCCCCCCCATTTCCCCTCTAGTAACCATCAGTTTGTTCTCTATAGTTAAGAGTCTGTTTATGGGGTGCCTGGGTGGCTCAGTCAGTTCAGCATCCGACTTCAGCTCAAGTCATGATCTCTCAATTTGTGGGTTCCAGCCCCACATTGGGCACTGTGCTGACAGATCAGGGCCTGGAGCCTGCTTCAGATTCTCTGTCTCCCTCTCTCTCTGCCCTTCCTCCACTTGCACTGTCCCTCTCAAAAATAAACACTAAAAAAAAAGTCTTGCTTTGCCACTCCTTTTTCCCCCCCTTGCTCGTTTGTTTTCTTAAATTATACAGATAAGTGAAATCTGATATTTGGCTGACTTATTTCGCTTAGCATAACACTCTCCAGCTCCATCCATATTGTTGCAAATGGCAAGATTTCATTCCTTTTTATGAATAGTATTCCTTTGTTACAGATACCACATCTTCTTTATCCATTCATCAATGTACACTTGGGCTGTTTCCATAATTTGACTATTACAGATAGTGCTGCTATAAAGAGGTGCATTTGAAATAATACTTTTGTATTCTTTGGGTAAATACCAAGTAGTGCGATCACTGGATCACAGGGTGGTTCTACTTTTAACATTCTGAGGACCCTCCATACTGCATTCCCACCAAAGTATACAAGAATTCTCCTTTCTCTGTGTTCTCAGAGAAAGGCAAAATTTTCAATACACAGTCTTGTGACAATTTTATGTTCATGGTGGATGAGACAAAATTAGACATATTGGTAACAAAAAGAAAAGCCAATTCTAAATGGATTAAGCACATGAATGAGAAACAAAAAGTATAAAAATTTGGGAATTCAAGACAGGTGAACATATTTATGACCACAGAGTAAAAGAAAATTTTGGAAACAAAATTAGCTATGCCCAAATTAAGAAATCTTTCTTTGGGGTGTCTGGGTGGCTCAGTCCATTAAACATCCAACTCTTGATTTCGGCTCAGGGTCGTGAGATCAAGGCACACACAGGGCTCCTCATTGGGTGTGGAGCCTGCTTAAGATTCTCTCTCTTCTCCTTCTCCCCAACTCCCCAGTTCGTGCTCTCTCTTAAAAAAAAAAAAAAAGATATTTTTCTTAAGATACTATATCAAAACTGAAAACACATTAAGTGGAAACTAATGCAATCTTGTTATTCATGAATGAGGAGTACCACATTGTTTAACAAAAGACTTCAAAATTATTTTAAAAGAACTATTATAAAAATTAGCCAAAGCCATGACTGGTATTCCAACAAGGAGGAAAACAAATAGCCATAGTACTTGACAAGATGTTCATACCATCAGTAATAGGGAAAGGCAAATTAAACCACAGAGATATTGCACAAACACTTTGGAAAAACATTGTAATTACCTAATCAGTTTGAACATTAATACACAGTGAGTTAATAAAATAACAAAGGAATGACTCAGTAACAAAAGCTTTTATATATAGTTCAAAAATCAACTAAGGAGGGAAATACTTTGCTTTGGGATCTATACATAGGTAGTAAAACTTATGAAAAAAGCAAAGAAATGGTAGATTGGTGCCTTGATCTTAATTTCTGAAAGTGACTGAATAAAGACACAGGGAGATTAAAAACACTGAAAGAAAAGTTTACCACAGCCCAAAGGGTAGACAGCATGACTCCCCTTGAGGGTTCAGAATTGGTCTGAAGAAAGGAGAAAACACAGGACACAGTCTTCATTGGGTTTCCACTGAAAGAGCAAGGTAGGGCTGAACAGAATTGGCGTTTGACTAATGCCACCAGATTTTGGGTCATAGGCAATGTATCTAGTTTTCTGGTATCTGGCCCTGGGTTGACTTAGGTAGGAGAAATACTGGCTTTGCATGTAAGAGTTAAAGGAGGTTGGGGATATTGGATACTGGATGATTTGGTTTCCACAAGAAAGAAGTGTTCCTGATTAAGTTGTTTACTATCTTTAGGGATTAGCCAGACCTGAAGGAGCAGTATCTTCCTGGACAGATTGACCCCTAAAGTGTCAAAGCATCATAAACACAGAGCAAAAGAGAACATGATTAAGGCAATTGATCTTTTGATGGTTTGATAGTAAGGAAACTTTGGGGTGATGGTAGTGGTGATTATCCGAGAGTATGGCTTAAGTTGCCATGGAATACATGGAAAACATTACGGGAGTATAAGAAGTCCTTGTAGGCTAGCCCATAACCAAGGTCTCTACTAAATCTGGTAGGTACTATGTAAAGATATGAAATTATTTTGTGGACTCTAACAATATCTTTGTGGACTTATAAAGTGTGCATTTGACAATATTCAAGGCGGCAAGCTTGGCAGTTACACTGTTGGAGGCCATGAGCTAATAATAAAATAGATGTAAAGATTAGTATTTTGTGGTTGGTGATGCAGGGCAGGAGGTCATGGTGGAAAGGTGGAGGGCTGCCGTAGAAGGTGCTGGAGAGTGGTCTTCTTCCCACAGGGTTAAGAGGCAGACAAATAGGAGTGAGGTTATCTCCTGAAAAAAGTTATTTTTAGAATGACACAAATAGTTTTCTGTCAGATTCCCCTACAAGCATGGCAGTGTGGGGGTATGTTTTGGCAGAATGCAGGTATGACTGGACAATGGGCTAAGCAGACTGCAAGCAGCTCAGAAACAAAACAGAATATCAAGAAGATCAGCAAAATTGTCCTTTGTCTACTTTCTGCATTAGGAGGGTCAGCAACGGATATTGTTGGTGCAGAAGCTCATGAACTGGGTGAAGTCATTTATATTCAGGAGATCTTTGGAGGGACTGATGTCATCTTAGGCCAGTATCCCTGCCAGCAATGAGATTCTGTGCACGGGTGATGCCATTTGGGATGTGGGCCTGGGGTATCCTTTCCCAGCAGATAACTACTTGGATATGGGTCTCAGCATTTGCTCTTTGGTTGAAACAATAAACTACCTCCAGGGTTTGGGCCTCCAGCCTGTAAAATGAAAGCACCCAGAACAGAAGTAATGAGAACAGTGAACAGAAGTATGGCTATCTTGAAAGATTGTTTTTTATGGAAGTTTAGGCTTAAATATTATATTATCAGTGCTGCCTTGCTTATGAGAGAAGTTATGGTTAATGGGTCCTAAGAGGGTATACACCTTGGATGTGACCTCCAGGCCTTATGTGGTGGGAACAAGATAGAACATTTACAAAGACAGTTTAAAGATCAGGGCAAGACAGAGATCAATTTAGGGGTCCACTTGTCAGACTGCAGTGTTACATCTGTTAAACTCAGTGTGATCTATCCGGGACATGAACGTTTTCTTGGATAGCTTTTCCAGGAGGTTAGTGTTGTGGATTTTGAGAAGTAAGATGTGATCAAACCTATTCCAGTTCTGAATAGGTTCTGAATAGGTTCTACAGCATGGTGACTGCAATTAATACTATTTATTGTACTACACACTTGAAAGTTGTTGATAGAGACTCTTCAATAATCTCACAACGAAAAAAGAAATAATTATGTGAAGTCATGTGGGTGTTAACTAACACTGTAAGTAATCATTTTGCAACATAGAAGTCTATCAAATCAACATGTGCTCATTAAGCTTACACATTATTACATATATTAATAAAGCTGGAAGAAAAGTGAAATTACCATATTTGTTAGAAAGTAAACTCCTGTATTAATTCGTTCAAATATTTATTATGTACCTATCATGAGCAAGGTGCAGTTTTAAGTATCTGAATTTTATCAGTGAACAAATATGGCCATTTCAGATGATACAGGAAGAATATTTAAATTCATAGGCATACAGTCTCAAACTATGAAATACAGGAATATACTGGCTATTAAAAACAGTGAGAAACCTACAGCAAACAACCGTGAATGACGAAGTGGTAAGAGTGTCCTAGTAGAATTGTTAAGACTGTGTCTGTGTGTGTCTGTGTGTGTGTATTTAATTGAAGCACAGTTGACATACCATGTTATATTAGTTTTAGGGGTAGAATATAGCAATTCAGCAATTCTGTACTGCATACGATGCCAAAGATAACTATAGTTACCATCTGTCCCCCAAATTATGACCATATTATTGACTATATTCTCTGTATTTTTCATTCCCATTGACTTATTTGTAACTATAAATTTAAAGTAGGCTCCAAACCCAGTGTGGGGTTTGAATTCATGACCCTGATATCAAGAGTCAGATGCTCTACTGAGCCAGCCAGGTGCCCTGTAACTAAAAATTTTAATCTTAATCCCCCACCCCCCCCCATGTATCATGCCCATCTGCCAACATCCTCTGTTCTAGCAACCAATCTGTATTGCGTGTTTATGAAACTTTGTTTTGTGTTCACTGATTCCACATGTAAGTGAAATCACTTAATATTTGCCATTCTCTGACATATCCCACTTAGCAATATCCTTTAGGTCCATCTGTGCTGTCATGAATGACAAGATTTCATTTTTTATGGCCAAGTAATATTTCATTGTGTGTATGTGTGTAACACATATACCAAATCTTTTTACATTCATCTACTGATGGACAGTAAGGTTACATCCATACTTTAGTTACTATAAATAATGCTGCAGTGAACATAGTGGTGCAGATACATTTTAAAATTTTGATCACTTTCCCTGAGTAAATACCCAGCAGTGGAATTACTGGATCATATTAGTTCTATTTTTATTGAGTTTTTTGAGAAACCACTATACAATTTTCCACACCAATTTATATTCTTACCAACAGTGCACAAGGGCGCTCTTCTTGCCACATCCTTGTCACCACTTAGTATTTCCAGTCTTTTTGATGACAGCTATCAATGATGTCTGGTGTGAGGTGATATCTCATTGTGGTTTTGGTCTGCATTTCCCTGATGATTATTGATGTTAAACATTTTTTTGTGTCTCTTGGCCATCTGTAAGTCTTTAGAAAAATGTCTGTTCAGGGACTCTGCCCATGTTTAAATTAGATTTTTTGTTGTTGTTGAGTTTTAGGAGTTCCTTATACATTTTAAATATTAACCCTGTATGAAATGTCACTTGCAAGTATCTTCTCCCATGCACTAGATTGTCCTTGCATTTTATTGATGGTTTCCTTTACTGTGCGATAGATTTTTAGTTAGATGTAGTCCCAATAATTCATTTTCACTTCATGTTTTTCTTGCCTGGGAGATACATCCAGAAAATAGTTGCTAAGGCCTGTGTTCAAGAGATTACTGCCTCTGTTTTCTTTCAGGAGTTTTATGGTTTCAAGTCTCACATTTAGGTCATTAATCCATGTTGAGTTTATGTTTGTGTGTGGTGTAAGAACATGTGGTCATTTCATTTGTTTGCATGTAGCTGTACAGTTTTCCAAACACCATTTTGAAGAGACTGTATTTTCCTCTCTGTATATTCTTGTTATCTTTATTGTACATTAATTGACCACTGAAGTGTGTGTGGGTTTGTTTCTGGCCTCTACATTTTGTTCCTTTGATCTATGTTTCTCGTTTTGTGCCAGTATTATACTGTTTTGATGAATACAGCTTTGTAGAATAGCTTATAGCCTGGGATTGTGATACTCCAGCTCTATTCTTTCTCAAGGTTGCTTTGACAATCTTCATGGGATCTTTGTGGTTCCATACAAATTTTAGTATTATTTGTTCCAATTCTGTGAAAAAACACTGTTGGTATTTTCCTAGGGATTACAATGAATCTGTAGATTGCTCTGGGTAGTATGGACATTTTAACAATATGAATTCTTCCATGCCATGAGCATGGTCGATCATTCCATTTCTTTGCTTTACCTTCAATTTCTTTCATCAATGTCTTATAGTTTTCAGAGTATAGGTCTTTATCCTTCTTGGTTTAACTTATTCCTAGGTATTTTACACTTTTCAAACAAGTTTTTATTAAAATTTCAGTTAACATAGTGATTTATTAGTTCCAATTGCTCAATATAGTGATTCCACAATTCCATATATCACCTGGTGCTCATCACAAGTATACTAATCTCCACTACCTATTTAAACCCATCCCTCCAACCCCATCCCCTCCTCTGGTAACCATCAGTTTGTTCTCTATAGTTAAGAGTCTATTTCTTCATTTGCCTCTCTTTTTCCCTTTGCTTGTTTTATTTCTCAAATCTCACGAGTTAAATCATATGGTACTAAATGATCTCTTTCTCTTATTTTGCAGATTTCATTTTTAATGGCTAGAAATATTCCACTGTATATACATCTATCACATCTTTTTTTTTTTTTAAGTTTAAAAAACTGGGGTGCCTGGGTGGCTTAGTCAGTTAAGCATCTGACTCTTGGTTTCAGCTCAGGTCATGATCTCACAGTTTGGGAGTTCGAGCCCTGCATTGGGCTCTGTGCTGACAGTGTAGAACCTGCTTGGGATTCTCTCTCCCCCCCTCACTGCCCCTCTGCTCACACTGACTGACTGTTTTTCTCTCCCTCCTTCCCTCCCTCCCTCTCACTGCCCCTCTGCTTGCACGGTCTGTCTCAAAAAAAAAAAAAAGTTTAAAAAATTTTAACATAATCTCTACACCCAACATCGGGCTCAAACTCACAACCCTGAGACCAAGAATCACATGCTGTACTACTAAGCCAGCCAGCTACCCCTACACCATGTCTTCTTTATTCATTCATCAGTCGGTGTACATTTGGGCTGTTGCTCTAATTTAGCTACTGTAGATAATGCTGCTATAAACACTGAGGTGCATGAATACCTTTGAATGAGTATTTTTCTATTCTTTGAGTAAATACCTAGTAATGCCAATTGCTGGATTGTAGGGTAATTCTATTTTTAAGTTTTTTGAGTACTCTCCACGCTGTTTTCCAGAGTGGCTGCACTAGTTTGCATTCCCACCAACAATGCAAGAGGGTTCCCCTCTCTCTGCATCCTTGCCAACATCTGTTGTTTCTTGTATTGTTTTTAGCCATTCTGACAGGTGTGAAGTAATATCTCATTGTAGTTTTGATTTGTATTTCCCTTATGATTAGTGATGCTGAGCATCTTTTCATGTGTGTCTTGGCCATCTGTATGTCTCCTTTGGTATTTTATACTTTTGACTCAATTGTAAATGGAATTGGTTTACTTCATTTCTTTTTCTACTTCATTATGAGCATATATAAATGCAAACATATTTCTGTATACTAATTTTGTACCCTGAAACTTGAATGAACTCATTTATTGTAATAGGTTTGGGTGGAACCTTTACAGTTTCCTATATATAGTATATCATCTGTAAATAGTTAATTTTACTCTTCTCTAACAATTTGAATGCCTTTTATTTATGTTTCCTGTCAGATTGCTGTGGATAGGACTTCCAGGTAGTACTATGTTGATGAAACAGTGAGGACAATATACCTGTCTTATTCCTGATCTCAGAACTTTGTTTTTCACCATTTAATATGTGACCTGTGGTTTTTTCATATATATAGCCTTTATTACATTCTGTTTTCTCTAAACCCACTTTGAGTCTTTAACATGAGCAAATGTTCAGTTTTGTCAGATACTTCTTTTTGCATCTATTGAGATGACCATATTGCTTTTATCTTTTAAATTTTATTTATAATTTATATCAAACTTAGCATATAGTGCAATAATGATTTCAGGAGCAGAATCCAGCGATTCATCCTCTACATGTAACACCTAGTGTGCTCATCCCAACAAGTGTCCTCCTTAAAGCCCCCTGCCCATTTATCCCTTCCCCACACCCCCAAACCCTCCAGCAACCCTTTGTTTTCTGCATTTAAGAATCTCTTATGTTTTGTCCCCCTCCCCGTTTTTATATTTTTGTTTCCCTTCTCTTATGTTCATCTGTTTTGTATCTTAAATTCCACATATGAGTGAAGCCATATATTTGTATTTCTTTAATTTTGCTTAGCATAATACACGCTGGTTCCATGTTGTTGCAAATGGCAAGATTTCATTATTTTTGATTGCTGGGTAATATTTCATTGTCTATATGTGTGTGTGGGGAGATTATATATATATATATA